AAAGAAAGAAAGAAAGAAAGAAAGAAAGAAAGGAAAAAAAAGAAAAATTTCTTTCCATCTCATTTTTGAAGTATTAAGAGTCACGTTGCCATAAAAGCCCGAAAGAAGCTGATTTTGTGGCTTTTAAGCAAAGCCAAAATATGCTCATTTCACGCTATTTTAATTTGACCAGAAACTAGCAGATTGGTTTGGAAAATTATGTCCTAGTATGTGTTTTAATCAAAATATCTTGTCCAGTGAAAAGTCAATTGCAATATGGCTTGTTACATGCCTTGAGGCACTAACAAATTTGAAGGGTGAAAAGTAACTTTCAAAGGAAGTAGTTTGATTTGGGATATAATTCATCTTCGTTCACTACTTGAACTACCTTTCAAAAAAAATAAAAAAATAACTGATGTGGTAAATATCTTGGTGTCTCTTTGATTTTCTAGACAGGTTCAGGAAAGACCCTGGCATACCTGTTATTGATATTCTCCGTTATAAATGCAAAGAGATCAGCTGTTCAGGCCCTGATTGTTGTGCCCACTAGGGAGCTTGGCATTCAGGTAAGACACTAATTCTTGCTTCTCTTATCAAAATAAATTTTGTGTGAGTGAAACTAATGTTGTTGGAAACAAAATTGATCTTGTTTATTTTTGTGAAAAAGGTCACAAAAGTTACACGAATGTTGGCTGCTAATTATTCAGAACTTGAATCAGACCACAAGTCTTGCACTGTTATGGCTCTTTTAGACGGTGGAACATTGAGAAGACATAGGAGTTGGTTAAAGGTACAAAACTGGCTGGCTGTTACAGCTGTTAATTTTTTTTATTTTTCCTATAAACTCAAACTAGAATGCATCCTGAAGTGCTGACGACGCATCATTATACTATAGGGTTGTGGGGATGAAGAGCCTTTTGGCCCCTGTTTGGGTCATATTTTAATCTGGGTCAAAGTCAAACAATCAATATTAACCACTTGTTATGGTTTGAAAACGGAATTGGAATATTGAAATTTTATTCCACAATTCTACAAAACACAACCCTATACCTCCTATTTATACTATACAAT